GCTACCAACTCAAACAAGATTTGCTGAGGGCACTGGTGGTTTTGTGGTAGAATTCCTTTGCCTTCAGTGCCAGAGAACCAGGTTCCAATCCTAGCTAATGTGCCCATCTGTCAGTGGAGGCTTGTGTGTGCCTATGATATTGAACAGGTTTCACCTGAGCTTCCAGACTAAGAAAACCTGAAGATCTCCTTCTAAACCAGCCAATGAAAACTCTATGGATCATAGCAGTTGGATTTGTAACTCCTTATAACGGGGGTCATACATGGGGGCTTCAGAAAGTTCATGGGAAAAATGGAATTAGAAAATAAAGGAATCTCCTCAGGAGCTTTCTGAAGCTTCCTCATACATACAGTAGAATGTTATTGAGTCATACAGAGAAATGATGTTTGGATGCATGCCACCACATGGACAAACCATGAACACATGCTTCTTCGTGAGCTGAGATACAAAAGGAGAAATACTGTATGATCCCGTTTGTACTGTAAGCAGGACCCGGTCCACCAGGAATCAGGGGCCAACTTGAGTGCGGCCCCCAGCACTTCAAGGGAGCAGCCCTCCTGAATTTGAGAGGCAAACAGGCCCTGCAAAGCCCAGGGGCAGAGTGGTCAGTGGGAGGGTGGGGGAGGGTATTATCAGGAAGTAGGAGGTGTATACTGCTGCTAGGGACGTGAAGTCAAAGTCCCCTCCTGCCCAAAGCAGCCCAGCCAGCCCTGCTGCCCTTATCAGTGTCCGCACATGCATGGAATGTGGGTCTTTGGGAATTTCTGGCCTGTACCAGAGGCTGCCTGGGGCAGGCGCCCTGCAGCAAGGCTAAAGGACCAAGCATGGCTGGAGCCCCTGCTTTCCCTCCACACACCCCAACCCCCACCCCCAGCCACGTGGCAGAGAGCAAGCTGCACCTGTTGGTAATAACACAGGGGCCTGTCCCTGCAGTCAGGAAGGAGGAAGGAAGGTGTTCTACCATCTCTGCCTCTGTGTTAAAGGATCTCAGAGAAGACCACCAAGAGGAGGAGGCAGCAAGGGGTTCAAAAGGAGTCCCTCTAGAATGCTAAGCTTCCCTTAGCACCTGGTGACAGAAGCCATCAGCACATTGAAAAAAGGGGAAGGGCAGGGAGGTCTGTAGGGGCAGGAGGCCCTGGTGAAAGCATGGATGCAGGAATCCACCCCAAGACCATTGGCACATGTGGGACCCCTGCTGTTCGCTGGCCATCCACCTCCTAATGCCTCAACCTGCTCTCCTCTAGACTACAGCATCTCCTACCTGGGACACCAGGTGGGGACCACCCCACTGCTATGGTCCTTGAGGCCATAGCAGGAAGCTGTCCTGAGGAGGCTGGGGTATCTTGTGTCCTGTCTGCCTGTGGGTGGGGACTGGCCTGCAACTGTTCCATCCCAGCAAGGAGGCAGAGCTACCACATAAGGTCCTACCGGAAGCTCTGCCTTCGTGGGCCCCTCCCCACCTCATCTCTTGTCCAGACAGTGAATCTCAGGATGCCTGTCCTTCTGAAGCTGGTCCTTCCTCTCCCTCCTCTATGGAGGGACCCTGAGGTCGAAGAGAAACAAAAGCAGCTCAGGTCCAAGAGACCCCCACCTGCCCATTCACCACTCAGCTGGAGAAGCCAACAGAAGCCTAAACTCACTATGGGAGTTCGAACAGAGACCAACCATGTCTCAGGAATGCAGCCAGAACTCAGGCCTTGGGAAGGAGTAAGCTCGGCCCAAGGTGGGAGGCTCCTTGGGTGTCTGCTGGAAGCAGTCCCTTAGTGCCTGCTGGCCTAGGTCTCTACCACCACTGCACAGGGAAAAGGGGGGTGGGGAGGGAGGCCCTGTGCCCGGATGATTTTAGACTTTCCTGGCTTAGGAGACAGGCACAGCAACCCCTCGTCACCAGAGTCACCTTTGATGACCTCGGCAGCCATAACAACTGCTTGATTCTACCATGGACCCTACTGGAATAGTGGTTCTCAAACTGGGCTGCATGTCAGAAACATTTCCAGAGCTGCAGGCAACTCAGACACCTAGGTCCAAAGACTCCAGAGAGGCCGGCTGGGTTGGGCCTTAGCTGGCCAGCTCTGAGAAGATCATAACATGCTACCCAAGCTGACCGTGGGGACACTGACTGGTCATATTTGGTGTGGGCCACAGATGGCCTGAGCCATCTCCCTGGAAAGCCCTCACTGTGTTCACACAGGGACAAGCCACAGAGTTCCTAGTCTCTTCACCCTTCTCATCTATTGTTTGAGCAAATTCATCAAGTGCATGATGAGTCCTTTGCTGCTGCTCGTGGCCCACATGGAGAGGCGGCCATGAGGTGGGTAGAAGGGGGTGTTAAGCTCACCTCAAAGTTATGGGTAGTGGGGAAAAGCAATGGTCAGGCGCACCCAGGGTGGTCATGGGTAGAAGTCAGGTTCAGCTCAGGTGGGCACAGGATGGGAGGCAATGGTCAGGGGTGGAACAGGTGATAGGGGTCAGGCTCATCATAGGAGGGTCACCCTCCACCAGGACAGGTTCTGTCCTACACACAGTCCCTCCCCAACTTGCCAGGGTAAACCTACCCACCTAGCAGAGAAGCGAGAAGGAAGCCTGTGGAAGCACAGGGGACAGATCTCACAGCAGCCTTCCTGTCCTCAAGGCAGGCTGTACGTACCCCTACCACACACCACCAAAAGCAATCCCTGCCTTCCCCCAGTCCCCTTGCTTCTCCCTCCCTGGTGCTCTCTGGGAATGGATCACCTATTGTGTAGTCCTAGTGTGGCAGTGGGTTAATGCACTGGACTGCAAGGTAGGCGGTTCAAATTCACCAGCTACTCCTTGGAAAGTATACAGGGCTGCTAAGAGAGAGAACCAACTCACAGCACTTAATAATTGTACACCAAACACCCACCGTGTGCCAAATTCTGCATTAGTAGCGGCCAGACTCTCAGACCTGAAAAACACCTGGCTGAAGCTCCATTCTAACCCCAAGGCCGCACACCCCGCCCCATGACTCGCACCACTTGTTGGTATGAAAAACACGAAAATTAGACAGTCAGGAGGAGGAGGGGCACTCCTCTGCCTGGCAGCCTTTCTCAACCTCAAAGTACAAGAAGGTCCCAGGCAGTTTGGGGGATTACTCCCTGCTCCCATTTAGTACAAATCCCCTCCCTCCCAGGTGCTTCCATCCTGGCCCTCTTCGTGGACTGCAGTGTCCTGATGCCTTTCTGATTAAGTCCCTGGGCTCCCACACAATCCCCACTGGCTTTGCCACTCCCAGGGTCAGCCCCTCCTCAGGATTCCTCCACCCCCAACCCAGGTCTCTAACCCTCAGGGTAAGGGCCATTCAAGCAAAAAGCAAATGCCTGGGGTACTAGGCCATATCAAACTGGACAGGCTTGTTTGGAAGACCCTCAGCTAGAGCCAGGAGCTGTGTGTATATGGAAGGCTGTTCCCACCCCCTTCCCCTGTAGGACTGCAAACCTTTCCAGCCTCTAGGCTGGGTGCCCTCAGGGACACTGGGTCCATCGAATTCACAAGTCAACCCCAGTCTCACCTAAGTTCTTCCCCACGGAATCCAGCAAGTCACACACATCACTTCTGTGCTGAACTATCAGAGTACCCAAGAGAAAACCACTGTTGGCAGGTTGGCGAGGGAAGAATCGCATGTTCCAGTCTACCCACGGGACCCACCTGTGTTCAGAAATGATCTCTGAATAGACGTCGGTTGAAGAACCCCACCCCATCCACCCCCATATCCTAGCTAGCTCCTGCCTTGTTCTCCCTTGGCCATTCTCCAATGGTTACCTCTCAAGGTTGACAACCCTCACTTTCACAACTGGAACCCCTGGTGGATCTTCCCCACAATATTTGACAATGTCATGGCCTGGTCACCACTGCACCCCTCTGTGCTGCCCTGGTCTCTCCCACCCCCTACCCCTGATAACACCATCTCACAATCATTCAGTTTTCAGGTCTATCCTCCCAGACTGGGCTCTGCCGGGCAACGATACAGGAACTGGAAGTGGAACTTCAGGAACAGGAACTTGGGTTCTGCTCCCCTCTGAGAAGTAGAGGCACTGAGGTCACCCAAGTGAATGAGTGAGTGAGCAAGTGGTAGAGCCAGGGTCTCCAAGGAGCCCTAGGGGAGGAACCTGATTTGTTATCTCCTGGATGGTGAAAGCCTGCAGGACCAGCCCAGGAGGAGGAGTCCCCAGCCCCACCCCCAGGCGATGAGGCTCTCAGCTCCAGTGGGCAAGACGAGGGGTGGGGCTGACTGCTCCAGGCCACAAAAGGGCAGAAGAGCCACATATCCCCTGGGTAAACTGAACTTTATTCCTACCTCACTCTTCCACAGAAGTCTCCAGAACTGCCCAGCCAGTCCTTTTCTCAGACTGGCTGATGTTTTAAAGGCACCAGTGTAACCAATGGAGTCCTGGTATGACGCTGTCGGATAATCAATGGACTGCAATGTCGGTTTGAATCACAAGGTCAGTGGTACAAATCCACCAGTCACTCCTCAAAAACCCAATACAAAGCTGCTATGAGTCAGAACCAACTCCACAGCACTTATCAATAGTGTCACCAAGGCACTGGGCTGCTCACCAGGAGGTCGGAAGTTGGAACCTACCAGCCTCTCCAAGCGAAAAAGATGAGGCAGTCTGCTTCCATGAATATTTACAGCCTTGGAAACCCTAGAGAAAAGTTTTACTATGCCCTGCAGGGTGGCCAGGAGTCAGAATTGACTTGAAGGCAATGGGTTCACTTGAGTGATGTCACACACATTCATGGTACTGGTACCCGCCTGCATTCACCAACCCCCAGCCCCACTCCAAGATCTGACCCCTGCAGACAATAAGGCTCAGGGAAGGCAGCAGGCCTGTCAGCTCAATAATGCAAAACCCTGTTGCTCTGAGACCACAACAGCTGACTTCAAGTGGCTCTGGAGGCTGTGCTTATTAACAAGATGAGAAATCTGATCTATGGAAAGAAAACACTATGCCAGTATTAATCCAGGACCTCGGCTCATGGAGAAGGCTGGGATGCTGGCCCAGTATCTAGGCTGGGATTGTGTGGACCTGTCCCCACAGCAGGTCCCACTCAGCAGGGGCTCTGCCTCCACCTGCGAGGCCCCCTCTCCTCCTCCTAGCAATTGCAGCAATCATCTCTCAGGTTGCTTTAATTAGAGCTGGGCTGCCTCAGGCTGCCACTTCCTCTCCTCTGCCATAGTCAGCACCAGAGGGGGAATTTTCTTTTCAGGAATTGCTTATAAAAGCTGAGTGACTAATCTACAAGTCCCAACAGCTGGCAGGAAAATACTGCAAGGAGAAGTGTTGGGCTGGCCTGGAGAGGCTGGTTACCAAGTACTCTGCAACACTTGAAACCTGCAAACAGGAAGCCAGGGACCAATGGGAAAGCAAAGACACCAGGGCATTCTGGCCCCTAAGGCAGGTAGAGAGGCTCCCTTCCAGCCTTACAGAGGTGCACAGAACCTGGAGGCTCACTAGGAAGGCAATGAAGACCTACCCCTTGGAACCACCCCTGGGCCAGGGACTGAGTTCAGCACTCCAGTATTGACCTCCTCCCACTCCTCAACTCAGTTCTAAGAGCCCACTATACCAGCAATCTCACCACACAGCTTTGTCCCTTGGGGACAAGCCTGAGGCCAGCCCATCTGCCTTTTTTTTCCAAACCACTCCACCAATACACACATACGCCCTCCTCTCTCCTGGAGACAAGGCTACAGAATGGCCACATGGCCTGTAATCATGAAAATGTCTGCAGCAAGGCCCGCCAGTTCCGACCCTGGCAGATGGGATCAGAGGCAAGCAGCAAAACAGGAGCCAGAAGGCAATACATGCTCCTTCCATGGAAGTGTCTCCATCTCAGGAATCCCTGGAGTTCAGCTTGGAAACTCAGCCCCTCTATTACCTGCGGGTTTCTCTCCCTCCCCCAGCCCAAGAAGCACCGAGATCCCCATATCAGTCAACAATCTTCCCCGCAGGATTCCTATGGGCAAGGGCTATGCCCCTCCCCCCCCATGTCAGAGGGGTGGCCTCCCAGGGTTACTACCCTCCCACTGGGGTGTGTGGAGGGGAGAGGGAAGAAGGGAACCCAGTTTCCAGATGTGCTCTGCAACTACTACAAGACACTGAATGAGGGTGGGTGTAGGTACAGGACAAGACATGGATAAAATAACTTCCATCCGGATCAGCACCGGGTTCCCTTCCCCAGGCTGCTCTGGGTGGGGCCGCTCGCAGTACTATCTGGCCTCGTCCCCTCTTCTCCATAAGCCGCTGCACCCACCCACCCAAGGAGAGACCTTTCCCCCAGCCTGGCCAGTGTGAATACAAACGGTCTTGGGAGATAAACAGACAGTGACAGTCTGGGGCCCTTCGGCCCCCTCCCCCCAGCCCATCTCGCTGCTACCCAAGTGGCTGCCCACGGGCGATATGGGACAAGGCAGCCCACCAGCCGCAGGGCCTGGCCCTCTGGGAGCTGCCCCTGCTTGAGTGACCCTGCCAAAAGGGGTAAGGGAAGGGGGCCACAGGCGGTGCCGGGCCGCGGTCCGGAAATCGCCGAATCCCCCCACGAGGAGTGGCTGTGGCCGCGGGCGCAGGCCGCTTGCATAATAGGCGCCCGCCCGCCTGTCAACAAGCGCAGCTCGCCCGGCGCGGTTCGGATTAAAGCGCTCCTGAAAAGGCACAAAGAGCCGACGCCGCTCGCCCGCCAGCTCGAGCCCGAGCAGGGGGCTTTGTGACCCAGCTGCCCCTCCCGAGCTCTCGCCCGCCCGGCCTTAGGCCACAAAGCGCGGCTAAGAACGCCTGGGGTGCCGCGTGTTCCCCCAACCCTACAGACGCGCGCCCTCCACACGTAGCCCAGCCGCCCACGCGCGCTCGCCCACGCCCCTCTGCCCGAGGGCGCGCTCGCCCACGCCCCTCTGCCCGAGGGCGCGCCCCACGCCCCTCACCTCGTGTGCGTT